CGTCCTCTTTTGGTCAGCTCGACCTACGAATCTCTTCTTCATGCTCTTTCATACCAACCGAAAGTCCCCCCAAAATGTTATCTCACGAGATTTATCGAAACGCTTAGCAGCCGTAATTTAATCTGTTCCAAGGAGACGTTTGCCTTGTCTCGCTTTGCCTCAATTCCCGTCGAATTTGCGCATAGTTACAGACACCAGCACTTTCTCTCCTCTCCCCGAGCCCGGTTGCATCCCTTCCTCCTTCTACACTTCACTTGCTCACCAACCTCCTTTGTCTGGCGCGAGCAACTTTTCACTTTGGCTTTCCCACCCGACGATAGGACGAGTGCACACCTCGTCTGCACACACACAAACACTCGCTCCCAGCGTCACTCTTCTCCCTCGGCCGGCCCTCGTCGACCGAGTCCTGCCGACCCGCGGGACTCGCCTCCTCGCCTCCTCGCCTGTCCCCCTGACCCCTGGCCTTTGTGCCGCTGCATGCCAGCCCATTCACACACAGACACACACCTGCACACAGACAGACATACAGACCCCGGTGCCGGATTGATCGTTGCCCCCATCGCCGACAGGATTGGCCATTTGCACAAGTGACCAATCAGCGCCACGCCAGTAGCCTCGCCTTTGACCCGACCGTATGCCAACTCTCGTCGGCGTTTGTGTGATTGCCCAGTCGACCGGACCAATCACGACTGGCCAGAGTGCCGATTGCACTTCCTCGCCCACTGCCTCCTCGGGCCAAGTCTGGCCTCGCCGAAATCTACCACCTGCACCCTCACACACACACACACACATGCACACACATGCACACACACACATGCACACACGGGCCGATGGAGAGACGGAGAGAGGGACAGGCGTGCAATGGAATGAGCGACAGGAGGAGATTAAATGCCATCCAGCCTGACATTGCATTGCCATCTGGTGGCTCCGTGTTCGTTTGTGGCCGATCTCTCGGCCTCGACCACATCGCACAATCAGTGCAGACGAGGATTTCAGTTGCCAAGGCGAAATCCACTT